CGCCGTCTGTTCAACAGTCATCCTTCCTATCTCACATCTATTGGGATATCATCACGATCACGCCAGTGGGCTACAACGGCGCCAAGTTCCTGCTGCATTTAATTGACTATCACACCAACTACCACTGGGTGAAGTCGGTGGCGGCGAAGTCTGAGGCTGCCACGAAAATCAAGGATTGGACAGCCGCTGTCGAGAATACCTCTGGAGGCTTCAAAGTTCAGGTCTTTCATTACGACAACGCACCCGAATTCCTCATTGATAGCCTGGTCAACTGGGCCAAGGCAAAGGGTATTATCGTCAAGACAGGCGCCCCTTACGTGTCTGCCCACCAGGGCAAGGTTGAGCGTGCCGGCCGCACTCTGATGGACTCGGCACGGGCTGATTGCATTGACGCTGACATTCCTCAACACTTGTGGCCCTTGGCAATTGAACATGCGGCCTATATCACGAACCACATGCCGACAGCGGCCAACGATGATTCGGAGCCGCCGATCAAGAAGATGTTCGACATCATAGGTCTTAACTACCAATACGACCTGCGAGCCATCCGCACCTGGGGATGCACAGCCTACGTGCGCATTCCAAAGGAACGGCGCAAGGCGTCAGAAAAGCTAGCTCCGCGCGCCTGGAAAGGACGCCTCGTGGGCATTGAAGGCGTACATGCCCGTATCTTCAAGATCTGGATACCCAGCCTCAAGCGCATTGTTCGGGCCCGCGATGCACGATTTATCGAGTTCACGCCGTCGACAAGGGATATCGAAGACTTCGAATTCGAAGCCACCCTTGTTGACCCAGAAATAGTGGAAGAAGGCCGCATGGTCTTCACGAACGAGGATATCCACACGTCTGAACCTACGACTCACCCAGTCCCCGAGGAATCACCACAAGGCGAGGACCACACTCCCCAAGCAGACAGCCAGACTAACGATGTCACGCCTCGGCTGTCAACAAAAACTTCACCTAAGGACAGAGAGCCTTGTGCTCCTATGACCCCAGAGCCAACGCCTGCTGCCGACAGCGATCCAGATGAGGATGAGATTGCCCGCATGCTGGAGGATCAATTGCTTGCCAACCCACCCGACCAGCAGGATGATCATGATAATGGACCAAGAATGCCTGGAGCCTTTGACGAAGAAAAGGCACCTCTACGTCGCTCAGGCAGAAGGACCGAGCGCGTTGATTACAAGCAATTGCACACCACAGGCAAGCGCAGAGGTTTCATGGCCATAGACCTTTATCGAGACCGAGACGTCGAGGTTCCAGGGTTGCGTATGTTCTGCTTGTCAGCCATCAAGGCTGGCCAGATATCCCTGCTGGCATCAACAGATATGCCCAAGAATTGGCACCAGGCTATCAAGCGTTCCGACTACGACAAGGTCATTCGACCGGCCGAACAGCGGGAGCTTGATGCAATGGCACTGCGAGGCGTGTTCACTATGGTGAATCGCCCTAAATCGCCAGTAATTCCAACACGATGGGTTTATACGAAGAAAACACCCGTCGACGCCGAACCTTTCATCAAGGCACGCCTTGTCGCTCGTGGGGACATGGAACGCGGAGAGCATTATGCTCTGATCACGGTTTACGCGGCAGTTGCACACATGGTGTCAGTCAGGATCTTCTGCACCTATGTCGCGATCATTGACGACGAATGGTTCCAAGTCGACTTCGTCACAGCTTTCTTGCACGCCGGGGCCAAGCGGCCTATATTCATTGAACAACCTCAGGGACACTCAGACGGCACAGACCGGGTCCTTCGGGTCAACCAGGCTATCTATGGCCTGCGTGAGGCTCCATTGTGGTGGTTCGAATGCCTCACCAAAGAACTCAAGAAGTTAGGGTTCAAGCCCCTTGACACAGAGTTATGTATCTTCATCCGCGATGATGGAGTGAAGCTCCTTGTTTATGTGGATGACATGATCATCGCAGCCCCTCACAAGTCACTTATCGAGGAAGTCCTCGTCGCCCTGGAAGGCATCTTCAATATGAAGCGCATTGGAGAGGTCAAGCAGTTCCTCGGCCTTCAATTCACCCGCAACAGGAACAACCGCACCATCTTTATCCACCAGACCACCTACACCGAGGGATTGATGGCGAAGTTCGCTGATCCTGGAATACACTCAGCACAGACTCCCTGGCCCCCGAAGACCACCCTTCCATCTAACTGGAAGTCACTTCCTAACATCATGCAGCCGAAACAGTGGCTTAAGCGCACCGGCAGCCTGAATTGGTTGTCTATTGGTACCCGCCCTGACATCGCATACACGGTCAACAAGCTATGCGAGGCCAACAATGGCCCAAAGGAAGTTCACGGTACGATCTTCAAGCATCTATCACGGTATCTCAACGGCACAAAGAACATGGGCATTACGCTCGGAGGCAAGTATGATCCCCGCGACTTAAAGCTTCGTGTGTTCGCGGATGCATCCTTCGCAGATGATCCCTGTGACCGCATTTCCACGGCAGGATTTGTGGTATACCTTGCAAATGGTCCTGTTATGTGGAAATCAAAGAAGCAGAGTCTGGTGACATTGTCATCGACTGAGGCAGAGTTCATCAACCTAACCCCAGCCGGCCAGGCTGCTATCTGGGTTCGAGATGTGCTTCACGATCTCGGCGCGGCTCAACAGGTGACCCCAATGCTCC